AACAACAACAACGACATCCATATTGTAGCTTGTACCAGTACTTCATTCCTTTTTGTGGCTGAATAATAATCCATCGTATAGAAATACCACATTTTGTTTATTCATTCATAAGTTGATGGATATTTGAGTTGTTTCCACGTTTTGGCTACTGTGAATTAGGTTGCTATGAATATTCATGTACAAGTTTTTGTGTGAACATATGTTTTTAATTTTCTGATGTATAACCAGGAGTGGAATTACTGGACCACAAAGGAACTCTGCTTAACTTTTTGAGAAAATGTTAAACTCTTTTCAAAGCAGCAGCATCATTTTACATTCCCATCAGCAATGTATGAGGGTTCCAATTTTTCTATGTCCTCGCCAGACAGTTGCTATTATCCTTTTTTTTTTTTTTTTAAATTATAGTCATCCTAATAGGAGCTCTGATGGCTTAATGCCTAAGGCATATGACTGCTAGCCAGAAGGTTGGTGTTCTAACCAACCTGCAGAAGGAAGGAAGACGGGGCAACTTACTTATATAAAGATTTATTGCCTTGGAAATCCAAAGGGTTTGGATTCAACTTGATGGCAGTGAGTTTGGTTTTGGTTTTCTTTTTTTATACTTTTTGGAAGAAATCGTGAAGGGAGCTCTGGTGACGTAGTACCTAAGGCATTTGACTGCTAACCAGAAGGCTGGTGGTTCAAACCCACCAGCCACTCCTCAGAAGGAATATTGGGTAATCTACTTCTGTAGAGATATGGCCTTGGAAACCCAAGGAGGGGTGGCTATGAGTTGGAAATGACTCGATGAGAGTGAGTTAGTTAGTGTGTGTGTATGTATATGTATATGTGTGTGTGTATATATATATTTATTTATTTTATTACCACGGAAGCCATTTAGTATTTGGTCCTGGGCTTTTCTTTGTGGGAACTTTTTTGTTTACTAATTTAATCTCTTTAAATTTAATTTTTTTTTATCTCTTTATGTAATAAATATTATGAGAACTAACAAATCTGTCTTGGAAGAAGTGCAGCCAAAATACTCCTTGGAAGTGAGAATGTCTGGACTTCATCTCACCTCCTTTGGTCATGTTGTCAGAAGGGACCATTCCCTGGAGAACGATATCATGCTTGGTAATGTGGAGGGTTAATGAATGAGGGAAAGATCCTCAACAAGATGGACTGACACAGTGGCTACAACCATGGGCTCAGGTATGGCAAGGATTGTGGGGGTGGCACAGGACCAGGCAGTGTTTCGTTCTGCTGTACATAGTGTTCCTATGAGTCGGAGACGCCTGGACGGCACCTAGCAACAACTCAGTACAGGTAAATTCAGATTTTCTGTTGCTTCTTGAGTCAATTTTGGTAGTTTATATCTTTTTAGGAATTTGTCCATTTGATCTAGATTATCTCATTTGTTGGCATACAATTGTTCAAAATATTCCTTTATAATCCTTTCTATGCCTGTAAGGTCGGTAGTAATGTCCCCTCTTTCATTATTGATTGTAGTAATGTGTAGTGAAGAATTAACCTTACCCAAAGGGAAATCTGGCCTTTGCCCTCAGCTACTAGAAAGTAACCTTTAGGCCCTTAGAATGTTTTTGTTTGCCTAGGGAGCTGACCACCAGATAGTCTAACAATGTGATTTATAATGGGGACTTTAGGCCATGTGGTATTAATTCTACCTTCAGAGGGGCTGGAGACTAAAGGGGAACTATGCAGACAGTATACGACTGAGCCCTAATTAAAACTCTGGACATCAAGACTCATAAGAGTTCCTCTGGTTGGCAATACTCCACGCATGTTGTCACATACCAATTCTGGGAAGATAATGCTTTCCATGACTGTGGGAGAGGAAGCTCTGCACTTGGAACTTTTCCTGGACTCTTCCCTGTGTGTCTCCTCCCTTAGCTGCTTTTAAATTGTATCTTTTCCCTGTAATAAACCACAACTGTGAGTACAACATCTTTCAGTGATCTCTGTGAGTACTTGTAGCAAATTACCAGAATTGAGAGTGATTTTGGGAACTCCCCAAACTTGCAATTGGTGCCAGGAGTAAAGGAAGTCCTGTGGACTGGACTGTGGTCCCTCAACCACACAGCTGGCTAAAACTCTTCACAGATAATTTGAGTCTTTCCTCTTTTTTTCTTGGCTAGTCTATCTAAAAGTTTGTCAATGTTCTTGATCTTTTCAAGAACCAAGTTGTTTTTTTGTAGAATTCTTCTCAATCTGGCTTCATAATTAGATTCAAATAATGCACTTGTGGCAGAAATACCACAGAAATGATATTATTACATTCTCAGTGCATCATGTCAGGGAGTGCTAGTACTTATATCAATACTGAGAATGTTAACTTTGATTACTTAATTAAAGTTAGCCACATTTCTCCATCGAGGATCCTGCCAATTCTATATCCCCTGCAAGAAGTCTCTTACTACAAAGTAGGAAGAATAAAAAATGTTTACTAGTAAACTGTAAGTGATCTTTCAAAACTCATTTTGTTACTTCTGTGTGGAGCCCTCACTGACCACTCCTTCTACAGACTTAGAATTCTTTGCTTTGTGCCCTCATTTCAGCAGTTAGCACTCTTTACCATGATCATTTAGTTGCTGGTTCCTCCAAGGACCAGCACAATGTCTGACACATAGTCCAAAAACCCCCAAACCTATTGTTGTTGAGTAAATTCTGACTCAGAGTAACCCTAAAAGTCAGAGTAGAACTGCCTCATATGGCTTCCAAGGCTATAATATTTACAGAAGGAGACTGCCACATCTTTCTCCCATAGTGTGACTGGTGGGTTTGAACTGGTAACCCTTCAGTTAGCAGCCAAGTGCTTAACCACTGTACCACCAGGGCTCCCTTGACATATAGTAACCCAAAACAAAAACTCACTGCCATTGAGTTGATTCGACTCATAGCAACCCCTGCTTGGAT